CAGGGACACTAAAAATACATATAACTGTGCGAGACACAAATGACAATGCTCCGGTTTTCACGCAATCAATTTTTAAGGCTTCTGTTAAAGAAAATGTTCCAAAAGGAACCTTAGTGGTGATCGTGAGCGCAACAGATGCAGATGAGGGGATGAATGGGCATGTTACATACCACTTTAATCGCATGGCTAGTAATGTTGCTGAACTGTTTCATCTGGATGAAAACAGTGGAGATTTAACTGTAAACGGTATGATTGATTATGAAGAGAATAAAATATATGAGATAGGTGTCCAGGCGAAAGATCAAGGTGGACAAAGCACATCAACAAAAGTAATAATTGAAGTGAGGGATGTGAATGACAATAACCCTGTAATAGCACTGACCTCGTTTTCGAGTGCCATCCCTGAGGATTCCCCCAGCGGGACTACTGTGGCGATCATTAACGTTAAGGATCTAGATTCAGGCAAAAATGGCAAAGTTGATTGCTCGATAAACGACAATATCCCGTTCGCAATCCACTCATCTCTAAAGAATTATTATACTCTGGTGACAAACGGTGCCCTTGACAGGGAGCGTAATCCTGATTACAATATCACTTTTACGGCTGTGGATGAAGGTAGCCCACAACTCTCGACTAACAAGACATTAACACTTCGAGTATCCGACGTCAATGATAATGCCCCAGTATTTGAACAGAGTTGTTATGAAGCTAACATCATGGAGAATAACTCCCCAGGATTATCTGTGTTTTCAGTGAAAGCACGCGACTCTGACTCCGGGCAGAACGCACGCGTGTCTTACCTGCTTATTGATACTCAGTTAAATGGTAACCCCATATCCACTTACATATCTGTTAACGCAGAAAGTGGAGTAATACAGGCAGTTCGATCATTTGATTATGAGCAAATTAAAACTCTAAATATTTTTGTGAAAGGACAGGATGGGGGTTCCCCGCCTTTAAGCAGCAATACCACAGTTAAATTAAATATTCAAGACCAGAACGACAACCCCCTCAGGTTCTGTACCCAGTCCAGAGTGGTGGCTCTCTGGTGGCTGAAATGGTGCCTCGTTCAGCAGATGTGGGCTATCTGGTCACTAAAGTGGTGGCTGTTGATGTGGACTCTGGACAGAATGCCTGGCTCTCCTATAAACTGCAGAAAGCCACAGACAGGGCGCTGTTTGAAGTGGGCTTACAGAATGGAGAAATAAGAACTATCCGCCAAGTGACTGATAAAGATGCTGTGAAACAAAGACTGACTGTTATAGTGGAGGACAACGGGCAGCCCTCTCGTTCAGCTACAGTCATTGTTAACGTGGCGGTGGCGGACAGCTTCCCTGAAGTGCTGTCGGAGTTCACTGACTTTACACACGACAAGGAGTACAATGACAACCTGACTTTTTACTTAGTGCTGGCTTTGGCTGTAGTTTCCTTCCTCTTCATCACGTGTTTAGTGGTTATATATATCAGTGAAAATCTACAGATGGGACAGTCTCGCGTCCTGTATCACTCCAATCTCCCTGTGATTCCGTATTATCCACCACGTTACTCAGACACTTTGGGACAGGGACTCTCCAGCACGTGTACAACTACGAGGTGTGCAGGACGACTGACTCCAGAAAGAGTGACTGTAAGTTCGGCAGAGCTGGTAGTCAGAACGTGCTGATAATGGACCCCAGTTCTACAGGGACGATGCGGATACAGAGTGAAAAGAGCATCCTGGATGAACCAGACTCTCCTTTAGAGGTTAGTTAAACAATGTAGCTGCATCTCTGTGCCGTTTTTTTTCTCTTTCTTTGTTATTTACTATGATAGTGAACTGTTGCGCACTTTACCCTTATTTTCAGCACCACGATCAGCACCCCCTTTGCATTACCTGCCTCTGGATTTAAATTCAGAACTTGAAAAAGATAACATTATCTGCATTCTAAACAACTATTATTTTATACGAACATTGATTTTACATAGTTGCATTTTGTGTTTTTCTTGTTTTTTGCTGCATTAGAAAAATGCTAAGTACTGACAATCAGAAATGCCCTTTTAATGATTCTGTAGTTTTTTTTAACTATAATGTACATTTTATTTCCTTTGTAGTTGCTATTCCTCTCTAACTTCTACAATTCGAATTATAGGTAGAATTTACCCCTCAATAAATAATCTATTCTCATATTCAGCACTGGTGTGATAGACAGTTCCAAACATTGAGACTGATTTGCTGACGCTGCTCTAAATCGCTGACTTTCTGTCTGTGATTTGATTATGTGTGGAGTGAGTGATTTCAAGTTACATTCTGGGTTGTCTTCATCTATTATTTTTTTTTGTGGCAATAAGTTATTTTCTTCATGTCAGTTCCCACAGTAGATTTCATATATATAATTGTTTTACCTAATTGCAGTTGACCGAGTTCTTTCCTCCGTTTCGACTCTAAGGGACGCTGTTGGTCATTAAAACAGAGTCTAGTGGTGTCAGGGCTGTCACAGAGGAGAGAAAGAGGAGAGGGAGGAACACTCTCCATACAGGGAGGCTTTCGATGTAAAGACAGTCGCTTTGAAACAGCATTTAACAGAGCGGTTTTGCTCGACAGAAATGCAGCACTATTAAACTGGAATGCACCTTTCGTCTAGGTGTGTAGCAGTGTGATATAATTTGCCGTTCCATTTGGGATTTTATTCTTTACGCCATGGGGATACGCCAGCATCGATGCGAAAAATGGCTGTTGTCTTGGACACTTACGTGGCAACTGTTTTGTCTTCATGATTTCCTCCATCAACGGCCAAATCCGCTATTCAATACCGGAAGAGATGAAGAAAGGTTCTCTTATCGGTAACGTTGCACAAGATCTTGGTTTGGATCTGAAAAGGCTCCGTTCTGGTCGGGCCCGTATCGTGACCGGAGAAAACAACCAGTACACTGAGCTAAAAGCAGACAAAGGGATTCTAGTTGTGAATGAGAGAATCGACCGAGAAGAGCTTTGTGGAGACGTGACACCGTGCAGCTTCAGCTTCGAAATTATTTTAGAAAATCCAATCGAACTGCACAGGGTAACAGTAGAAATATTAGACGTGAACGATCATGCGCCAACGTTCAAAAATACTGTAATTAATCTAGAAATCAGTGAATCTGCAACGATAGGATCGCATTTCGACTTAGAAAGCGCATATGACCCCGATGCAGGGAGTCACACCTTGCAAAATTATGTGTTATCCCCAAATGAGAATTTCGTTTTGAAGCAACACTCCAACGCTGATGGAATCAAACTCGCTGTAATGATTTTACAGAAGCCATTAGACAGGGAGCTGAATCCACACCTCTCTTTAAAGCTGATAGCAGTAGACGGAGGAACTCCACCGCGTTCTGGTACAGTAAATATCCATATTACTGTTATTGATGTCAATGATAATCGCCCTGTATTTAATCAATCACTGTACACTGCTGCTGTTACAGAGAATGCACCCATAGGCACCTATATAGCTACTGTGAATGCTTCAGATGCCGACAGTGGGTCTAATGGCCTGGTTACATATACTTTTTCTAATGTAAATGGGAAGTCTGGTGAACTCTTTCAAATTGACAGTTCATCAGGCAAAATAACAGTTGCTGATAATATTGATTTCGAAAAGACAAAAAAATACGAAATAAGAGTGATCGCTAAAGACCAGGGTGGCCTAAGTGACGCAACCAAAGTTGTCATTGAGGTCACTGACATAAATGATAATGCTCCGGTAGTAAATATAATG